TTCGAAAGGAGAAGCGGCGATGGAAGATGAAGAAGATGGACTGGTATCTAATGCTATGCAGGCCTAAGAAATTAGTGTCTTGCGCAGTTGCAGCCACTTACATGTACATGTGTCATTTTTATTGAAGACGTCGGTCTGAATCAAAGCAGATTCAACTTCGTACCGAAATTCGTTTAGGTAGTACATAAGTAATTCATGCACTGCATCGGATGATAATGCGGAAGTATAGGTACCGGAGCTAGAAAAGAAAGGCCAACCTTTTTCCATCAGATCAGTGTCCGTTAAATCGAGGATATATTGTGCAATATTAAGGATTCACCTACTTTTGGTGACTGGTACAGTCATCAAGGGATCTGCCCCTCGTTGAATGTATTTGATTTCAAACCCATTCGTTAAATGGCCTCGCGATCTACAACATGTCTTATGTCGTTTCTTATGTGAAGTTTCAGAAATTTTTTCTTGCCAATGCCAAACTTGCTGGTTTTGGACCTTGCTGCCCTCTTCTCTTTTCGTAGCTGCGAGGAAGAGAAAAGTGGCAGAATGCTACATACATGCTTATGCAATAAAAGATTCTCATGACCACACAAACACAGAAACATAAAAAAGTGTTAAAATATGTTTGCACATGTATTTTAGCACATTTTCCTACTGTAGGCACGGTATCTAGTTCCAGATTTAATCTGAATGATGTCGTACCTTCTTTACACAATCGGCTTTTGTTAGAATCTACTACTGTTTACTTACGATGGTTGTAATATTCGTGGGACTATGAATGTCCAAAGTAAACAGCGTGCGAAAGGATACCAGAGTTCTGCGTCTTTTCATTTGTGAGAACTAATAAATGTTCGGTAACTCTTCCTTTCGTTCAATCTCCGTACTGTTTTTGCAATTTAAATCTTGTTGCTGTCGTAGCACTCGATCTTATAAACCACGTTCATCTCTTTGATTCTCTTTGGTTAAGGAAGTTCCCGGTAGATCTGCAATGAATTTTAGATGAACCTCCCATTTTGCCGAGATTCGAAAATTTATATTCTTCATGTACTCTATGGTTTTGTTAAAATTTAGAAATAAGGGGTATGGCTACAGTGTTATTACTTTAATTGTTTGATTTATTTATGAATACATTTCAATAAAGATCTTTTAGTGATTTCTTCAATGTTGCTAATTTTACGTAAGAAATCATCTAGATTGTTCAGTTTCTGCTTAGTAGGCAAAATCTGTGGTACAAGCCCTACGGTACTTAAGTCTCATTATTAAAAATATTTTTTAAATTAATTTAGTCGCCCTCTATTTTCTGCATTGTATCGTTTCGTAAGGTTCTGATTTTCAGGTTGTAGCAGAAGACGCGAAGTTGGTGGCATTGGCTAAGCTGATCGTTAAACTGAGGTCCAAGAAGGTCCTCGTTTTCATGAGCACGTGTGCGTGCGTCGATTACTTTGGCAACTT